CTATTGATGAGGCTTCACTTCGTAAACATTTATTTGCAGTGTGTGGAAGATAGATAGATAGATAGATAGATAGATAGATAGATAGATAGATATGAACAGACTGAGATAGATAGATATGAACAGATATAGATAGATAGATAGATAGATAGATAGATAGATAGATATGAACAGACTGAGATAAACATGAACAGAGATAGATAGATAGATAGATAGATAGATCGTTAGATAGATAGATAGATAGATAGATATGAACAGACTGAGATAGATAGATATGAACAGAGATAGATAGATAGATAGATAGATAGATATAGATAGATAGATAGATATGAATAGACTGAGATAAACATGACTGAGAGATAGATAGATAGATGATAGATAGATAGATAGATGAATAGATGAATAGATAATATGAACAGACTGAGATAGATAGATATGAACAGACTGAGATAGATAGATAGATAGATAGAAGATAGATAGATAGATAGATAGATGGAACAGACTGAGATAGATATGAACAGAGATAGATAGATAGCTAGATAGATAGGAACAGACTGAGATAGATATGAACATAGATAGATAGATAGATAGATAGATAGATAGATAGATAGATAGATATGAACAGACTGAGATAGACATGAACAGACTGAGATAGATAGATAGATAGATAGATAGATAGATAGATAGATATGAACAGACTGAGATCGATAGATATGAACAGACTGAGATCGATATATAGATATGAGCAGACTGAGATAGATAGATAGATAGATAGATAGATAGATAGACGTGAACAAACTGAGATACATAGATAGATAGATAGATAGATAGATAGATAGATAGATAGATAGATTGTACTGTTTAATTATATGTAATTTAATTTTTATACAAATGTGTTTTTTACAGATTAAATATTAGAGGAATCCACCAGGTGTCGCTCATATATTTTTCCAAGTTTAAACATGAGTTTTAATTTAATAAAATTCTAGAGCTGTCATTGATTCAGAAAATGAAATACGAATCCTCCATATATCTACTCGAAATTCTGGTTTCACTATCGATACTAAAAGCAACCCAGCTACCGCCGGAGAACATCTCTGTAGAATGCAGTCGAGAAACATACGCACGTACATACGTAATATAACGCATACGTAAATCGCTAAAAACGTAGAAGATAGCTATATTCTTCCGTCAATGTCATGTGCAGCCAATTCTTTTAGCTTTCGAGCAGGGGTGAACGTATTTTTGCTAATAATAGGACTTAACTTTGGGGGAATCGTTCTCTCCACAAACTATTACTTCATGACAGTGAGAGGAAGATTTTAGGTCATTCCCTCTTGCCTTTGTCTGCTGCAAACTTGATACAAAGCACTTTCACCTCCGGGTGGTTCTCCGCAACCTGTTTGAAGATTAGGCCAAAAACTTCACATACCGTAGTATAGAAATATTTCCAGATAGACATTAGGGTGTTATAAAATGAAAACAAGAGAGATATGAAGGGTGATATACATAATGACATATACATAGATCGAAAAAGATACACATTAGCAGACGGGAAGGAACAGCATTGACATAGATAGATAGATAGATAGATAGATAGATAGATAGATAGATAGATAATGAAAATACGGGTGAGATAGATAATGAAAATACTGAGATAGATAGATAGATAGATAGATAATGAAAATACTGAGATAGATAGATAGATAGATAGATAGATAGATAGATAGATAGATAGATAGATAGATAGATAATGAAAATACTGAGATAGATAGATAGATAGATAGATAGATAATGAACAGGCTGAGATAGATAGATAGATAGATAGATAGATAGATAGATAGATAATGAACAGGCTGAGATAGATAGATAGATATATAGATAGATAGATAGATAGATAGATATATAGATAGATAGATAGATAGATAGATAGATAGATAGATAGATAGATAGATAGATATTAAATGAATCATGGCTGGATAGATAGAGAAACAGAAAAACTTAATGCCGATAACTATCTCACGATTGCTTTTATCTGTCTTTTTCTCTCTCTCTCTCTCTCTCTATATATATATATATATATATATATATAGAGAGAGAGAGAGAGAGAGATAGATAGATAGATAGATAGGAAGGAAGGAAGGAATACGGAAAAGAAATATTGTGTCATACCAAATTGGTCGGGTTTCGGTTCCGGCCCTAAGTGATCGGATGTCTAGCCACACCGACGAGATGTGATACAGTTAAACAGTCTGTCTGTAGATGACGATATATATATATATATATATATATATATATATATATCTATATATATATATATATATATATGTCCAAAATATATATATATATATATATATATATATATATATATATATATATATCAACCAAATATATATATATATATATATATATATATATATATATATATATATTCAAATATATATATATATATATATATATATATATATATATATATATATATATATATATATATATATATAATAGATTATTATGGCAACAAAACCTCGTTTATACAAGTTTTATTAAAAAAAAAACCTGCCAAGAAACCACAATTAAAAAAAAGATTTTATTCAGTTTTCTTTCTTTTGCTTTCATACAGAATTCTCTTTCTATTATATCCGTGATGCTTTAACTGAATTCATATAATTCATATATATATATATATATATATATATATATATATATATATATATATATATATATATATATATATATATATATATATATTCATCTTTAGTGATCGGAATATTTTTAAATACACACGGAAACCTACCAGTGTCTGTCCGCATGCTACGTGTGAGAACCTCAGCCATAATAGTCTCATCCACATGTAAAATAATGGAAGTATTGAAAACCTCCACACTCAATAAGATAAACTATGCACACGGCCAAAAAGACTGACCTTGTTTAAAAAAATAAAAAATTACCATTACTTTAGATACATAGATATGAATTTCTTCATATTCAGTTTTAAAAAATTTAGAATTCATTTAGAATGGCTGTTATATTTACGAAAGCGCTCTGATTTATATTGAACAGTTTTTACACACTTTACGTCCAGAAAAGAAAATACTTTTATGAATTCAATTATAATTGAATAAAAATCTTCGCAGGGCCTTGTCAGTCGTCTTCAATAAAAATTGTATAAAAGAGGGATTGCTGCCCAAATACACTATTATATATATACATATGCATGAAACGTAATTTTTCACTTTTAATATATATATATATATATATATATATATATATATATATATATATATATATATATATATATATATATATATATATCGTGTATTTTGCAGAAATCTCTCTTTTACACAATATCAATTCAGACGACAGGAAAATTAAATAAATTTTCCTCGTCTCTCATATTAAACGAAATATGTTTAAAAAAACCTTGATACACAAATATACCTATATAATATCAGTGGTCTATATATATATATATATATATATATATATATATATATATAAGTCATTCGAGAACAGTGCTGCTTCGCTGTATCACAGATCCTCAGGGCGAATAAACATCAAAATGCCTCAATCTAGGATCGAAACACAACTGACTTGGCGTCTGTCAGAGTTGCTAACCCCCAATCGATAGAGTTACGATTCGAAATCTAGCGTATTTTCTTTACGAATGTTATTGCAAATATCAATCAGCCAAAGTGCTCCATTTATTTAACTGAAGAGCTTTCCATTAGCGCAGGTGGCTCCTTATCACTTGTTTATATATTATCACATATATATATATATATATATATATATATATATATATATATATATATATATATATATTTAGGATAGAATCTAGGTAGAAACTCAATGTCCAGGACAGAGTAAGAATATAATATAAAAAGGCTCAAATATTAATATATATTAATATATATATTAATATATATATATATATATATATATATATATATATATATATAATATATATTAATATATATATATATATATATATATATATATATATATATATATATATATATATATATATAAAGACTCAAACATTAATATTCCATGGTTAGAATTTATTACATTGGAATCGTAGTCACTATCAATTCATCAGACATACTAAAAATATTTTTCAATTTCTTTTTGAATTTTAGGTCTGATGATTTGATCGTAATTACGATTCCAGTGTAATAAATTATAACCATGGAATATTAGTGTTTGAGCCTTTTATATTATATATTCTTACTCTGTCCTGAACATTGAGTTCTACCAGGATTCTATCCCTCTTGGAAATTTATACACACACACACACACACATACATATATATATATATATATATATATATATATATATAATATATATATATATATTGACGACTGATATTAGTATATATATATATATATATATATATATATATATATAGAGAGAGAGAGAGAGAGAGAGAGAGGGAGGAGAGGGAGGAGAGAGAGATAGCTAGAAGTAGGCAGTGATATATAGGTACCAACTGTGAAGCTGGTTTTGGAAGGCAAATGAACAGGCAAACTCAGTGGCTTCGTTTTGATTTGAACTTTGAAATATGACTACGCAATAGAAGCCAATTTCCCACCATGGCATCGAATGATACTGTCACTAAGCAAAGGAAAATACATTGACGTTTATTCAGCCTGAACATTGCGAAACCAACATCTACAAGTCCTCACGCACGATGTCCGAATGGAACTCACTTCGGTGCTTACTGTTTACTACACTTGCTAGCTGCCTATCACTCCACGCCAAGGATTGAAGAAATGTTTACCAAGAAGAGCAAAGGCAAAAAAAGAAAGGAAGGTAACCTCATTTGATTGAGGTAACAAGTACAGGTAAATAAATTGAAAAACAAAAAGAATTTCATTGAGAGAAAGTGGGTGCTAGAATATTGCGTAATGTTTTTAGTTTGCAAGCCCGTGTAATGAAGCTCATCATGTAAAATGGTTATGAAAAACACTTAATGTTTATTTATAAATATGTATCTATTAATATCTACTGCTTTCTAAATACGTACGTGTGTGCGGATGCGCTGCTGTCTGCGTTTGTGTGTTTGTGCATACGTCTGCTTCTTATGTAGAAATGATTTAGTCTGGATTTTTTTAAACATTTATTTCCAGCTGTCTTTATCACACGTTTTCTCATCTTACATGTATGTGAAAGAAATTACCTCTTTGAAACGAACACGCTAAAGACTGTTTTACATTTAATACGTTCGTCTATAAGTTTCTATCTATCTATCTATCTATCTATTCAGACATGTATTTCTAAACCGTTTCTGACATTTTTTTATCTGGCGTCTTTCTCTCTCCCTCTTTATATATATATATATATATATATATATATATATATATATATATATATATATATATGAAAAATGTTAAATAGGAAACGTTTATCAATCTAACATGTTTCAATATTACTAAAGCTTCATCAGAGAATTTTCTTTATCCTTTTATTCTGTCGGATCCCAAATATGCATGTATATATATATATATATATATATATATATATATATATATATATATATATATATATATATATAAGGTGTATCAAAATATTTTTGATTATTGATTATTTTATTGTTGGTTATCATAACGTAAATGCGGTGTGGTAAATAAAAAAAAAAGATACTCTCTCTCTCCTCTCCTACTATCTCTCTCCCTCCTCTCTCTCTCTCTCTATATATATATATATATATATATATATATATATATATATATATATATATATATATATATGTCTGTGTGTATGTAAGCGTGTATACAAACAGAGTTCATCAAAATACTTTTATAAATTTTGGGAGCGAGGTCCCCCACCAAAACAAGGACAAATATCTATACAAACACGAAATGTCCATACAAACATGTTTTTGATTTATTAAGTTTAAGATAAGTATACGTTAGATGGCGCTGTGTTGCAATTTAGACGAGGTTCCATTTGTCATTCGTGTATATTTGTTTTCTCTGTCTTCCATGTTTATCGTGTTTAGTAGTGAGTTAACTGAAATATATTGCATTTTATATATATATATATATATATATATATATATATATATATATATATATATATATATATATATATAGGCTGTATCAAAAATAATTTTACAAAAGTTTGTGTTGGCTTCCTCACATCAAAAACAAGGACAAATGTCCATATAAACATACGTCCACAAAACCTTCGTTTTTGAGTTATTAAGTTTAAAGAAAGTTTACATTAGATGACGCTTTATTGCCTTTTAAACTAGGTTCCATTAGTCGTTCGTGTACATCTGTGGCTGGTATGTCTTTAACTCACTTCTACACACTTTAATCTGTGTAGTAGTGAGCTAACAGATAAGTGTCCCGTTTAACGATGGCAGGCTATTCATATCGTATATATGATATGATTTTTGCATACGACTGCGCGAATAGTAATGGACGCGAGGTTGCAAGGCTGTATCAGATTGCGTTTTCAGACCAATTCATCTAAACTTTGCTGCTGTTTGCTGAGTCAGGATCTATGGCACCACAAACTATGGATCGAGGAAGACAGAGATTCGCTCGTACGCCTGACCACGAAGAACACACTCTACGGGCTGTCGGAGACGACCCAGGTAATAGCATACATCAAACTGCCCTATATATATATCGTATATTTCGTAGAACCGCATGTAGGTACTTCGAGAGCAGCTCTTGTATCATTTATAACATCTGCAGGGTCTTTCGACCTAGGATCACTCACCACGTGAGAACTTTTACCGATGGTTTATTGCACAAACGACCGATTAGTTGTCTCTTCTTCGGAATCCGCCTGGTACAATAGAGGCTGGACACCAGTATTATTTTACGATTAATGTGGGCTGAAATTGTAGGTGACAATCTCCAGCACATTTTAGTCACTTTATTCACGATTCGAAGGCTGGCATCTACCAGGAAAGATGCAGGGTTTAGGAGGAGTGACCATATATATATATATATATATATATATATATATATATATATATATATATATATATATATATATATATATATATATATATATATATATATATATATATATATATATATATATATATATATATATATATATATATATATATATATATATATATATATATATATATATATATATATATATATATATATATATATATATATATATATATATATATATATATATATATATATATATATATATATATATATATATATATATTCGACCTTGCCTACCGAACGCTCCTTTGTGGCCGAGTCGGTTAAGGCACGTCAGCGTAAATGACGGTTCCGTATAGGATGCAGGTTCGAATCCTGTCAAAGGACGAATATTTTCTATGAAAATTTCTCGGACTTTCAGGCCGGTAAATGTTATTTAATACTGTTTATTGTGAACAGAGCATTTACTTAAATACTTGTATCTATAAAAAAGAACGTTAAACATAAAAATGTCTTTATATATATTGGTAGCAATCACTTTTCTCATATAGGCTTCATCAAAACGACTGACAAAACACT